CCCCCATTGTTTTTCTATCTATATGGCCAATCTGATATAGCCGACCCCGTTTGATGGGACTTAATGGTTGGTCTAGTTTAACGGTTGGTCTAGTTTAACTTTACTTGGTAATATTGTTATATGTTTTTAATCCTCTGGCAGTTGCCTCTAAGAACATGTCATTTGTTTTCTTCACTTTGATGGCCCTTGTCACCTTCTTTAACAAGCCCTTGAGCTTCCTTTGCCCCACATTCAAGTTAAGTTTATTACATCATGGTTTTGTCTGAACTGAGATTTTTTAGCTCCTTCTGCTGAGTAGCTTCTATAGGTAGTGTTATTTCCTTCTTGGTGATTAGTGGAGACTCAGCCACCAGTTTTCATATCCTTTCATTGGATTGTTTACCATAATTTTTAATTAAAAACAAGTCTGCTTTTGGAGGTTGCTTGATCCATATTCTGATTGCATTTCTTAATATTCAGAGTGAGCATCTCACATATAGATCTTGCAGGAACTAGCTAATGAAGTAAGGTTTTGGAGAGCATTTGGGTTTTATGCTCTTTTAACTTTGATGTGTTATTTGATTCTTTTGCTAATTCATTATTCACCTCCTCTTTAACAAATTACTTGAGATGTTTGTTTGACTCATTGGATTTTTTTTCAGTTAAAATTGAAAAGTATTTTTAAAGAACTAATATTAGAATTGGCTAAATAAAACTTATGAAAGCAGGCTTATCTTGTAACTGGGTTGAGTGGAGGTTTATTGACTTTTTCCTTGTCAGTTTTTATGCTTCCTGCCTGGATTTGCTTCTGCCTATCACTCAAGTCTTTTGGTCATCAATCACTCAGGTAGCACATATGATAATTCTTTTTCCAATATCATAAGCTTTTTCGGAATGCATACTGGACAATCTAATTTGTTATGCCACCTGTTTCAGGTCAATAGCATGTTATGTTGTACCTCTAATACCTTGCTTTACTTAGTCAGTCTACTTTAGTGGGTCTATTGCCAAATTCTTAATTGAGAAGATGGGGATGATTGGTTCTCTGCCACCTCCTCATGGTTAGTAGTTTTGGACTTCTTTATTTTCTGAAGCTTCCATCATTTCATGACGTTTTAGTTTTGTCACAACTGATTGCTCTCTTGATGTTAAAAAGCTCCATTTACTAGTAGTTTACTCCTATGTTACATGAACTCGGGTACAAGTGTTGGGTACACGTGTGATATACGTCCAGGTGTCCAATTGTTTTAATTCTCAATGTCATTGGACATGGGGACACAGATAAATTCATATTTCTTAATTTGTTTTGTTTTGTTTTTGTTTTTCTAGAGTGAACAGTGTTCACAAGGTACCATAGAGCATTTCATGCATATGTAGGGGTTCTATGCATAGTTTTATAGTAAACTTGAATTACTAATTGTGCTTACTAGGTGAATGTTCAAGTTCACATGTATACATACCCCATTCTCTTACCCAAGTATCAAGTGTCCACAGGTACTTCATACGTTTAGAATAATCCATGTAACATAGGTTTACACTAGTGCTAGGTTTTCTTCAGTCATACTTTTCGAAAAATGGCCCATTTACTGCCCATAAGAAAAAGAATTAAAGTATTACTTACCAAATATACGTTAGATTTCCAAGTTCATATAAAGTTTACATTTCATTGTATTTTGCAATGTGCATTGTCATGTTTCCTGCTCTCTATATTGCACTCTTTACCAAGACTCATGTTGGACTTTTTAGTCACCAAGTCAACACTTCGTTTAAACTTTATCCCAATAATGATTTTACCTTCTCTAAATTTTGGATAATGTGCAATTATTTTTTCTTGTGTTTCTTTAACTCTAGTTTCAAATTTTAAGGTCTTCCTGTCCCAAATTATTGAATGGGTTATTTCATTTGTATGATTCATTTTCTAAACAGACAATGATGAACACCTGTATAGAAAAATTTGTTTTTATATAATTATACTTAAGGCAAGGCTTGGTTTGGTTTGGTTATAATTATACTTGAATTGGTATGTGTTGAACTTGTATTTCTGTGAATATTCATCTTAGCTAGATCAGGTTGTGAGAATATATTGTGTATATTCTCAATTTGGCATGATTGTGTATATTAGGAATTAGGAAAGATTGTGGTGTAAATATTTAAATTGGTTGTATTTCCTTTTTCAGTTATAGGTTTAGGGCTATATAAACTAATGAGCTCTTTATAAATAAGATACAATTGAATATACAAAAACATTCAGAAATCTTACATGGTATCAGAGCCAAGTGCGAAACTCTAACAGAAATATCAACTAGTTCCCTGGTTCTGAGCTTTAGTTGATTCTGTTCTGATTCTGTTCTGGTTCTGTTCTCTAGATTTGATTAAGTTCACGACCTATTTAGTTCACCATCCATCATCACGGTCAAGTTCACCCTTTGCTTCATCTTGCTTGTGTGACTCATCTGAGTTCAAATCGCGATTCGTCTACTTACGACCCACCTGATTCACTTCATGACTTCGCATCATAGCCCGTTTGGTGCGACCCACCTTGTTCTCTTTGACTTACGACTCATCTGGTTTGCATCGCGAAGTTCTCTGGTTTGAAGTTCTACTTGTTCGACACCTCTCTGTGGTCTCGGAGTCGCAATTGACATCGCGATCAGCATCTGCCTTCGTCGTATCGAAACCTACCTGGTTCGCGACTTGTTTCCTCTGTTGCCGACTTGGTTCTGGACGTGCGATGCTCGCTCGATCTCTCTCACTCTGATTCTCCACTTGTGAGGTCTTGGTGGCCCCTGATATTTGGTTCTATTTTGGGATTAGTACACTTGAACCCTCTAATTTTTGTTTATTACATTTTGCCCAATCGGTTCTCTATTTTTGGTTCATTATGATGTTGAATGATCAGACTCAGGCTATTGGTTCTCCATCTGTCTTCTTGGATTCTGCTAGGCCCAAGATGGGACCCTTGGCTTTAGATGGGTGTGCTTTTTGCCATCAGAAGGGCCATTAGAAGTATCATTATCCCAAGAAGGGATGTCTGATTGCCTCATCTTCTCAACAGTTTTCGATCCAGTTCTGCGCCCCTTCTCCGAATATTTTTTAGCCTCTCGCTGGTTCTACTGCATTTGTTTCGGCTCCTGATCTTGACCTGACTTCCTTGAGTGCTCAGATTAGTCAGCTCCAGCATATACTGTCTACCTCCCAACCATCCCCGTCTACCTTAATTGTTTCCTCTCGTTATTTAGGTTTGCTTGGGTCTTCTTCAAGTATCTCTTTGTCTGTTTGGATTTTTGACTCTGGTGCTTCGCATCATATGACTCTCCATTTCTTCTTACTTCAAAATTGTACTACCCCTTCCCTTCCTATTACTGTTAATGTTGCTAATAGGTCTGGTATGTCTGTTATATCTGTTAGGTCTGTCTTATTGTCTGCTATCTCTATTCCATCTGTCCTTTATGTTCCTCAGTTATCTGTCAGGTTATTATCTATCAGTCAACTTGATGCCTCCGATTTTGATATTATCTTTTCTTTTTCTATCTGTTCTGTGCAAGATCGGATGTCCAAGCAGCAAATTGGGACTGGCCGGAGAGTTGGAGACCTTTATGTGGTGGAGAGCTTGCATCTGCCTATGACAACCTTTCCGACTAATTTTTCCTCTTTTCAGCTAGATTCTCTGTCCAGTCCTTTCTACTTGTGGCATTCTAGATTAGGACATTTGTCTGCTGACCGCTTACGATCTTTAGCTCAATCAGGTATATTGGGTAAAGTTTCTGTTAGTAAATTTACTAAATGTCAGGAGTGTAAACTTGCCAAAATGACAGCCTTACTTTTTCATAAAAGTACTTCTATATCTAATATACCATTTTATTTAGTTCATACTGATGTTTGGGGCTCTTCTCCTATTCTCACAAAAAGAGATTTTGCATACTATGTGTCATTTGTTGACTACTGCATCCGTTATACTTGGGTTTATCTTATGACTTATAAGTTCGGTTTCTATTAGATATACCATCTTTTAGTCTATGATTACTACTCAGTTTGGGTCTACAATTAAACTGTTACGGTCTGACTTGCGTAGGGAATATTTTAAAAATGAGTTTTGTGAGTATTTAGCCAATTTGGGTACCATTCGCCAAACTTCCTGTATAGATACACCTGCCCAAAATGGTTGAGCCGAGCGTAAACATCGCCATCTCCTTGAGACAACTAGGTCTCTTCTTCTCTCTGCCTCAGTTCTGGCTCCGTTTTGGGGGAGGCAATTCTTACTGCTGCTTTTCTTCTCAACCTCATGCCTACTCCCCTTCTTTCTGGTCGATCTCCTTATGAGGCTTTGTTCTCCCAAATTCCTAATTACTCCCTCCTTCGTGTTTGGGTCTGCCTGTTTTGTCGTTCTTTCCCTCAAAGATCGGACCAAACTTAGTACCTGGTCTATCCTCTGTGCCTTTTTGGATTATAGTCCTACTCAGAAAGGCTATCGGTGTTACGACCCTGTTTCCCGTCGTCTTTATGTCTCCTATCATGTTTCTTTTCTCGAACATCTGCCTTACTTTCAGCTTCCTCCTATCACTGCTCCGGTTTCTAAAGAGGATTTGGTTCATATTGATCAATTTCCTTCTGAGGTCCCTCCTGATGAGTACATCTCTATTGTTCCCCTTGAACTTGCTCCCTCTTCTCCTACCACCCCTCTTGCTGAGTCTTTCTCCACTGAATCCCATGAATCTGCTCCGTTTTCTCCTCCTTCTCCCCAGCTTGCTCTTTCTCCTCCTCCTCTGTTGTTAGTTTATTCTCGTTGCCAGGCTCTCCCTCCACCAGTTGTCTCTGCCCCTACTGCTGATCCTTCTGCTTTTGACGACTCTGATCCTGTTGCACACCAATATCTTACTCGAGTGCGTTATCCTCCAAACAGGTTGGGTTGGTCTAATACATGTTTTTCCGCTTCCTGTTATACTTTTTTGTCTGCTATTTATTCTTTTTCAGAGCCTCAGTCTTGCAAGAAGGCCTGTTAGGATCCCAATTGGGTTTGAGCTATGGAGGATGAGTTGTTTGCCTTGCAGAAGACTAACACTTGGGCGTTAGTCCCGTTGCCCGCTGGCAAGAATCTGGCTGGTTGCAAATGGGTCTATAAAGTCAAGACTCATTCTGATAGTTCTCTCGAGCGATATAAAGCTCGCCTGGTTGCCAAGGGTTTCTCACAGGAGTATGGTATTGATTATGATGAGACCTTTGCCCTTGTTGCCAAGATAACTATTGTCCGTACCTTGATTTTTGTTACCACTATTTACCATTGGCCTCTTTATCAGATGGACATTAAGAATGATTTTCTTAATGGTCATCTCACTGAGGAGGTCTACATGTGTCCACACCCTGGCCTTCCCCACTCCTTTGGGCAGGTTTGTCATCTTCGGCGTGCTCTGTATGGTTTGAAACAATCTCCTCGTGCTTGGTATGATCGCTTTCAGACTGTTGTTACTGAGCTTGGATTTCATCCTTTTGCTTCTGACTCTGCTTTGTTTCTGAAACATACCTTGGCTGGTTTTGTTGCTCTCTTACTATATGTAGATGATATGATCATCACTGGCTTTGACTCTTCTACTATCTCTGAGGTCAAGCAGCATCTCTTCCGCACCTTTGAGATGAAGGATCTGGGTCCATTGCGGTATTTTCTTGGTATTGAGGTTGCTTCTTCTCCAAAGGGCTATTTTCTGTCTCAGGCTAAATATGCTGATGAGGTCATTCACCGTGCTAGTCTTACTGATACTAAGGTTTTTGATACACCTACTGAGCTTAATGTGAAGCTCAACTCTACTGATGGTGTCCCTGTGGATGATCCTATTTCATATCGCGGGCTTGTGGATTGCTTAGTCTATCTAACGGTTACTTGTCCTGATCTTGTCTATGTTGTTCATGTGGTTAGCTAGTTTGTTTCTGCTCCTCGCTCCACACATTGGGCTGTATTGGTTTGGCTTCTTCGCTATCTCCAAGGTACTATATTTCAAGGTTTACTGTTGTCCTCTACTTTCTCTCTGGATTTGGTGGCCTATGCTGATTTTGATTGAGCTGGTGATGTTATTGATCGCAAGTCCACGTCTCTGTCTGTTTCTTAACGATTCCTTGATCTCTTAGAAAAACAAGAAACAAACTGTTGTTGCTCGCTCTACTGTCGAAACTGAGTACCGTGCTGTGGTTCATACTACTGCTAAAATTGTTTGGCTTCGTTGTCTCTTATCTGATTTGGGTGTCCCTCAGTCTTCTCCGACCTCCCTCTATTGTGACAATCGCACTGCTATTCAAATTGCCACAATACTATCTTCCATGAACGGACGAAACACATTGAGATTAATTGTCATTTTGTCCGCCGACATCTGCAGTCTGGCTCTCTCTCGCTTCCTTTTGTCTCTTCGGCTTTGCAACTTGCGGACTTCTTCACCAAGACTCACACTACCGTTCGGTTTCAGTTTCTTCTTAGCAAACTCTTAGTGTTTTCTGCTAAAACACCTTGAGTTTGAGTGGCGGTGTGATAATATATTGTGTATATTCTCAATTTGGCATGATTGTGTATATTAGGAATTAGGAATTAGGAATTAGGAAAGATTGTGGTGTAAATATTTGAATTGGTTGTATTTCCTTTTTCAGTCATAGGTTTAGGGTTATATAAACTGATGAGCTCTTTGTAGATAAGATACAATTGAATATACAGAAACATTCAGAAATCTTACATATCATGCAATTTTTGCTGCAGCATAGTGTGATTGCCATGGCACTCTCATCACTATTTTTTCCATATAGCATTGATGAACCTAATACAGGTATTGAAGAAAGAACAGTTCAAATGCTTCGAGTGCTATAGTCGCTCTAGATAACAATCTTGCAGCCACAATCTTGTTCTGATTACTAAAATTGCTGTAGTTCTCGACAACAAATATTCAGGTAATAATTTTATGTAGTTTGATTACAGTTTTTTGTTCATTAATTTACTTATTTTTTGCATTGCTTGATAATCACAACATGAAAATATGAGTGGAAAAGTTGTATAGAGCTTGGATAATGTCAAATGCAAACTGTTGCCTTAGGAGGGAACAAAGTTGGTGGTTGCATTAGAGGTGTCATGAAATGGTTTTTATAGCATACATTGCATGCTGCCAAAAGTCAATTATGTTGTAGTGTGGAGAATCTAAGAATTGCAGATAAATTTTGGAATAAGTGAAATTTTGAAGAATCTAAGGAGATGTCTAGAGAGAGCGTGGTTTTTGACCTTTTGGTAGAGTCTGCTCAATTTCTCTTTATTATGAGCACGAAATTGAATTGAAACACATAATGTATCACAGAAAGTGCATTGGTAGGCTGGGATTTATTTGAAGTGGGATCCCTCCATAACTGGGTTTAATCTCAGTTTTTCATTACATTTTCTGTAATAGTTAATCTGGTTACCCAAAAAATGGGTCCAAAATTTTACCCAAAACCTGAGCGTGGTTGAGATTGAATTCGTGTATTGAGGGGTCCATATGTAGAATGAATCTATACCACGTATTGATATTTCTAAGTAAAATTTTGAGTACGTAGGTAGTATTACTGTTTCTGTAAACTATTCTATAATCCTTTGTGTGTTGCTAACATTGTTGGAGAGAAACGGACATAAACTCTTCATATCCTGTGGAGGTTTTAGCCACAACCATCCATTGAGAAGATCTAATGGTGGTAAAGATGACATGCAAGAATGTTGGGACCATTTAGTGCGACGTTGTTCTGGATAGTCACTGACCAAGCCTAGCTCGCCTTTTGTTTTCCTTTTTCCTTTTTCTTTTCTAATTCACACAATTGCCCACACAATGTTGCATTTTTATTTGAAGACAAAGTACCAGGCGACGAACTGAATGTATGAGGGAAAAAAAAAACTAAAGAACAAAAATATATATATAATAAATTAAGTGAATATTTTTTTAGTTCAGAACTTGATGTCTACAACATAGATTCCTAATTGCTCAGATTGTGAATCCGAATGGTGGGGTACTTATGACTGGTGGATGAAGAACAAAGATGAGATTACACCCGAAGGGAAGAAAAGAGTTGCATAACTGATTTGCTGAAGAGCTAGACCTGGTCCATGTGGAGATCAATTGGTATAATCCTGATGAGCAAACTGATGATTCTAATTGGAACCAAGAACCCGAAAGGCCCAACCTAAAGATTGGACTACAGCATGAACCAAATCTGAAATCAAAACCTGAACCAAAGCCTGAACCAGAAAAGCCTAAAGATTCAACACCTGAAATCCATGGCCTACAACCAGATTATCCTATCTTTGACCTGTTAAAGTACATTATCCCATCCCATCTGCCTAAACCCATTGCCCATGTCCCCCGCCAGACTTGAGCTGAATTTGCTCACTAGAAGATGATGAGAAAAACCCATTCGACTTCAAAGACATAAAGCAAGCTGTGGAAGATCTCACCTGATCTGAGGTGTATGATGACTCGATAGAACCCGAATTGGACTTGCTATTTGCAAAATAAAAATATTGCAAATATGATTGTCTTGAAGGAAAGGTCGTCATGCAGACAAAGAAGGCTGTGAGCGACAAGACTGCTTTTGAATTTCTGAAAATCATTACCACAAGGGAGGAAGGCAAGTTGATAACCCCTCAAATCCAAGTCACCAAAGTTGAAGAAGAGGATCAAGATTTGGAAAATGAGGGATCAAAAAATGAATATGCTAGTGACATTGAAACCATTGGCCAGCAGGCCGAGAAGCACTAGTCAAACCAAGAATAATCACAACAAATGCTAAGCACGGTACTCTGAATTGCTTCAGAATTTGATCGATTAGGCTAATGAAGTTGATGATGCTTTTATGAAAAGTTTGTTTGCATATGAGAACCCAAAAGATCAAGTTGCAAATGGAGTGGCAATGCTTAACACTGAAGTCAACATGCTGGACTACACTTTGCTTATCGAGGATGCATGTGGAAAGCTGAAAAACTAATCTTAAAAATGGAATAAAACTTGTCTATGAAACATTCGTGTCTAAGTCTAAGTTTGATAGTGAGTCTGAGTTTGAGTCTAGCAGTGAGTTAGAGGCTGAGTCTAGACCATTTGTCAAACCTAGGTCTAGCTTTTCTTTTGAGTTTGAGTAAGAATTTGTAACTCAGAATTCTATCAATGAAATAAGCTTAGCTTTTGCTTACGTCCATGTTCCTCAAGTTAATGGTGTGAATCTCGATATTGAAAATGATTGACACCGATTTTAAAAATGAAAATGATCTAAAAAATGAAATTCCCAAAGATTTGAAAGATTTAGTTGAACAAAGGAAAAATGTACTCAACCAATAATGGAAGAAACTTTGACAATAAATTTGAGAAAGAAAAATCCTAGACGATTTAGATTGATTCCAGTTTATTTTCAGAGGAAAGCAAAGAATTAGTTAACTTTTTGAAAGAATACAAAAATGTTTCTACGTGGTCCTGTGAAGACATGTTTAGAATCAATATGGATATTGTCCAATATCGTATTCCTTGTACCCTGATGCTAAACATGTAAAGAAGAAATTGAAAATAATTTGACTTGACTGACTTTTGAAAATAAAGGAGGAAATCACTATGCAAATTGATGCTGATTTTCTATTGGCCATTGAGTATCCACAATGGGTAGCTAATGTTATGCTAGCCCCTAAGAAAGATGGTAGAATTAGGGTCCCTAAAGATGATTTCCCCTTACCTTACATCAATACCTTGGTCGATAATATTGCTGGCCATGCAATATTGTCTTTTATGGATAGGTTTTCTAGATACAATTAGATCTTAACAGCACCTAAAGACAAGGAGAAGACCACCTTTACCACGCAATGAAGGACTTTTTGCTATAGGGTTATACCATTTGAGTTGAAGAATGCTGGAGCTACTTATCAGAGAGAAGCCACCACACTGTTACATGATATGATATACTCAGGTAGAGGTTTATGTTGACGATATAATTGTCAAATTTAAGTAGAAATCTGAACATGTGCAAGTATTGCACAAGTTCGTCAACCGAATGAGGAAGTACAGACTCATGCTCAATCCACAGAAATGGACATTTGGGGTTATGGTAGGAAAGCTTTTGGGTTTTCTAATCATTGGACGTGGCATTGAGCTCGATCCCAGCAAAATAAAGGTTGTCCTTGAATTGGCTCCACCTCGAATTGAGAGTGAAGTCATTAGTTTTTTTAGCAATATGCAATACATCAGAAAATTGATTGCCAAGCTCACCATAATCTATGAACCGACAATTTGTGATTCCTGAAATGAAGTTACAACAATTCGTGATACAGTAACATATTTTATGCTGTAATGTTATGTATTTTCATCCAAATGTTATGTTAGAATACTTATTTTTGTTCTTTTGTTCTCTTGTTAATATTTACGCAAGTTGAGGATACGATAGTCATATTGCTATGTTAGGGTTTGTATATATATTTGGCTGATGTAAAGTTGAGAAGCAATGATTATTCAATATATATAAAATTACTCTTTCTTCTTCTTCTTCCTCCTCCTAAATCCCAACCCTAAATCCTTCATTTTACAATCTAACTTGGTATCAGAGAAATCTATTCTTCTTCAGAAAGGTTTCTACAGACTCTAGAGATCGATCTAAGGTGACCGAGAAGTGCTGATGTCATTAGCTGTACGATGACGTCAGCATGACGTAAGTACTGTACGGATGGGACCTTCACCCCTAGACTCGAAATTGCCTCCTGAGATTTATGGTGATTTTTATGGAATTTTTTGATCATCCTTGATGTGAGTTTTCGATTTTTGAAAGTATTTCATGTTTTTTGGGACTGTTTTTTTGCTGAATCTACTTGCTGGAATCCTATCTCTTGGAGCCGAAACTCCCTCCTTCAGTGTTATTTGCTATTATTTTATTGATTTACTACTGTTGGGTTAATGTTTAATTCGTTTTTGGACTCTTTCTGGTACTATACATAATCGGCAGTGTTATTTTCCAACCTACCCAATGAAACTTACTGTATAGGGGCTGAAAATTATCTAGCAAGGTTTGGTTGATTTTAAATTGTTAATGTGTTGGTGGGTTGATGTTTTTGGTTGAAGTTGCGTTCAAATCTGTTTGGTAGACATAGGTTCTCCACTCATGCCTCTGTAATCTTGGATTCTTGTTGATTGAACTATTTCCAGTGGCTGTACTCATGGTTGTAAGAGCTGATTGGTGTGGATAATTTCTATTTGCAGGATTTCTGCTGCTTTCATACTCGTGTTGAGTATTTTGTGTGATTGATTGTCATGGCTGAAATTGAGACTAAGGCAATGGCTATGAGTAAAGATGATGACATGCCCAATTCTATTACTACCAAGAAGTTGAATGGTGCCAATTATTTAGCTTGGGCTCATGCTGTAAAAATTTTCTTACGTGGTAAGAAGAAATCCTGCTTCATTAGCAAACTCCTTCCTGCCATTGACGACAAAGCTTATGATGATTGGCGTAGTGAGGATTCTTGTGTTATGGGTTGGATCTGGCATAGCTTGGAACCACAGGTTGCTACTACCGTGGAATTTTGTGATACCTCTCCTTTGCTGACTCTTTTTCGAATCAGAGTAATGTCTCTCGGGTCTATGAGCTATATGAGCAGATTTTTGCTAAGCGCCAATTTGGCCGGTCCCTTCTTGATTATTATAGTAGTCTCAAGACTTTGTGGGATCAGTTATTGTAGCATCGACCCTTCACTACTGATGTGAACAAACAGAAGCAACATTAGGAGGAGTTCATGATGGCTTCTTTACTCTCTGGCTTAGATCCTAAATTGCGGGGTTCAAGGATCAGATTCTTGCCAGTGAGACTTTACCTTCTGCTGCTAATGCCTATTCTCAGCTGTTACGTCCTTCTTTGGGATAGGCACAATCTACCTCCAGGTCCTCTACCTTGTCATTTTCTACATTAGTCTTAAGTAGTGTTGATCGTAGGTCTACTCGAGGGGGTTTTCTTGGCACATCTGGTCAACGGGGCTCTTATTCTGGTTCACGAGGTTCTCGTGGGGCTGGTTCCTGTGGTGGTGGTTCCTGTGGTGGTTTCAGGGGTAGATGTAGTAGTGGACCTAGTTCTCGCACACGTGGTGATGGCAAGTGTACTCATTGTGGTTCCCAAGGTCATACTGAACCTTGGTGTTGGCAAAAGTATGGCAAACTTGACCATGTCCATCAGGTTATTGATGTTCCATCCTCACAGTCATCCTTGCTTTCCACTGGTTCTGTTGCTTCTCCAGTTGATTCACATGAGACACTCAGTACTCAGATTAGTGAGCTTACCGCTCTTGGCCAATCTCTCTGGCCTAGTCTACCTTCATCCTCTACCACTACTATGGCTAGTTCAGGTAATATTGCATGTGTGGCTAAGTCCCCTCAGCCTTGGCTCCTTGACTCTGGTGCTAGTTCCCATGTTTCTGGTAATTTCTCTCTTTTTGATACTCTTAGACCTGTTGATCATACCATTATACTTGCTGATGGATCTTCTCGACCTGTTGGTGGTCAAGGTCTTTTTCATCCTACTCCATCCCTTTCCTTACCCTCTGGTCTTTATGTTCCTAAGTTTCGATTTAATTTGCTTTCTGTTAGCCAATTGACTCAAGCTCTCCATTGTTCGATAACATTTTCTCCTACTTCATGTGTTTTGCAGGACCTCCAGACCAAGAGGATGATTGGTTCGGGTCATGAGAAGGATGGCTTATACTTTTTGGACACTGAGACCTCTCATTATCCTCCATCTGCTGTGTTGAGTGCTACTGTATCTCCTCTTTAGTGGTATTTTTGCTTGGGTCATCCCTCCTTGGCCAAGCTCAAGTTAGTTGTTTCGGGTTGGAGTTATGTTTCTCAGATTGAGTGTGAAGCTCGTCAATTTGGGAAGCATCACTGTAGTTCTTTTCCTAGTCGTAGTGTTAGTCGTGTGTCTGAGTCGTTTGCTCTTGTCTATACAGATATTTGGGGTCCTTCTAGAACTCCCACTGTTAATGGCTTCTCTTATTTTGTTATTTTTGTGGATAATTACTCTCGGATGACTTGGTTGTTCTTAATGAAATAAAGATTTGATTTGCCTTCCATTGTCTCTAAGTTTTATAATGAAATCTTCACTCAATTTGGCAAACGTATTAAGATATTTAGGTATGATAATGCCTTAGAATATGTGCAATCTATTGTAACTACCTTTTGTGATACTCATGGTATTATCCATCAAACTAGTTGTTCTCATACATCTCCTCAAAATGGTGTTGTAGAGTGAAAACACCGCTTTTTGTTAGATGTTGCTCGCACACTGATGTTTAATATGCATGTCTCCAAACAGTTTTGGGAGTTCTCACCACTTGTTTTCTTATCAATCGCATGCCCTCTAGTGTTGTCCACCAATCTCCCTATTTTCTGTTATATCACACAACATCTCTTTTTCCCTTGCCTCCTCGCACTTTTGGTTGTGTGGCCTTTGTCCATGTTCTTGGCCCTGGTTTGGATAAGTTATCTCCTAGAGCACACGTGTGTGTTCTTAGGCTATTCTCGCACTCAGAAAGGGTATCGTTGTTATTATCTTGAGTCACGTCGCTACTTTGTCAATGCTGATGTTATCTTTTTTGAGTCTACTCCGTTTTTTTCTTCCTCTGGACAACAGTTATCCACTGATCTTCTCTCTTATCGTGCGGGGGAGCCAGCCTCTCACACTCTTACTCTTCCCACTTATGCTCCTTCCATATCCACTCCTATATCCTCTACCTCTCCTCTCG